TAGTCTCCTGCTCACAGTTTCCAGTGTTATTATCACCCAAATTAAAACCCAAAATTTGTCCACTACAAATACAAACTGCACAAAAGAACTGAAGAGAATTCACAAATATTTCTATTATAGCAGTTCTTCCATCTATAGTACAGTAACTACTCAAGGGAAAGGCTTCATCTACCCAATAACTGAGACAACACTTCGGTCCCTGGAAAACTTGTGTAACAAATCTTGTTAGAAGCCATTTGTAAACACATCAAAGACAAGAAACTAAATGGGAACAGAAAAAGGGGTTTACCAAGGGAACATGATGCCTCACCAACATCACTGCTTTCAATATGAAGGAATGGATGCTTTCAACACACAGGGAGAAGCATGGATGTTGTGCACCTTGACTTCAGTGTCAGCTTTCACACATTTTTTGCCATAGCTTCCTTATCACCAGAAATGTGAGATATGGTTTGTATACGTAGGTAACATGTAAGAAAATTTGGCTGGGACTACCAGGCTGAAAGCATAGCAGTGATCAGAGGTGCAAAGTGCAGCTGTTGGCCACCAGTAACTAGTGGCATCCCCTCAGAGACCACGGCTGAGACCAGTACCAGTCACGGTGTTCATTAGCAACCAGAGTGAACATTCAGCAAGTTTGCTGGTGACACCAAGCTGAGGGAGCAGGCAATACACCGAAGGGAAGAGTTGCTATTCAGAGGGATCTGAAGGTGACAGGTCCAGAGAAGTGATCTTTTCCCTCTGTTTGGCACTTGTGAGGCCGCAGCTGCCGTGTTGTGCCCAGCTGTGGGCTCTGCCCTCACAAGAAAACCACCGACATACTGGAGCAAGTCCAGCAGAGAGAATCACTAAGACAGTCAGGGACAGAGCATGGAACATATGAAGAGAAGCTGAGAAAAGCAGGTTTGTTCAGGTTTATGTAAGTAAGAATCACAGGAGCCTTATTGCTGCCTAAAACTTGAGCAGAGATTGCAAAGATGGAGCCAGTGCATAGCAATACGACAACAGGTAACAGGCAAGTTGGAACATGGGAAATGTCAGTGTTTGAAGGACATTTTGGGTCTGGGCAGTTTTTCTTTGCCATGAGGCTGATGAAATTCCAGAAGAGGTGCCCAGAAAAGTTGGGAAATGTCCATTCTGGCAGCTGTTCAAGACCCAGCTGGACAAAGCCCTCAGCAACCTGGCCTAAATAGACCAGCTATGAGTGGGACACAGGCCTACCTCATCTCTGGAAGACCCTTCCAACGAACTACTCTATGGTAAGTATTCTACTGATATACCATTTTTCCATGGTCTAACCTTACCGTTTCACAATGCCATTCAGCATGAATAATTCCATGCAAAGAAATATTCAAACTCCTCTAAAAAAAAAAAAATAAATAGTAAAAACCCATTCTCCTAAATCATTGCACCAGTCTGCACCATCCTGCACCTCGTCACTACTTCGAACACCATCACCACCACTACTGAGGACACTACCAGAACTGCTCCAGGGACTGTGATGGACTACTCAGTTGTATTTGAACCGAAGTCAAAGTTTGCTATGACACAACATGAACACCTACTATCACTTCTAAACTCTGGGGAAAATTCTTCCAAATTCTTACTATTATATAACACTGACTGCTTTCACACCGTTTGCCTCCATGCTGTCTTGTGGCAATGAATTTTACAAGCCACGTGTATATTGTGTGAATGTATTTCCTGCTTGGTGGGTACTTTCGATGTCTTTTGCTTCCAAAGACTCTTTATCCTCACAGTAAGAAAGAGCAGACAAAGAAACAAGGATGGTCACAGAAGAGAAGATAGTTTACATCGGAAGTAAAGAGACTGGAGGATATTCAACAAATCAAGGGTGAAGTAAGGCTACAACAGCCTCTGATCCTTTAAGACACTATGACAAGAAGTGCCACAAGAAACACGTAGCCCAGCTGGGTTACTTGGGACAGACAGTGGTTTCCTCTATGACAGGATAAACCCTCTGCTGATTTCCACATTCACATTCAGAAGAATGGGAGAACACACAGAACTATGTATTTGCAAATTAATCAGAAAGTATGAGGTAATTTCATCTCTAGGCAAGAGTGATGTTACTGTAATGCAGGTACTGGCCTGTAAATAGCATGGAGAAAAGAATCTGAACATTTGATGTAAGGGGGTCTTTGGATTAGCTGCAGGTATTAAAAACATACATGCACTCTTTTGTATATTGTTGCTTCCAGAAACTTCTGTCTAATTCCTTCCAAATGAGAGAAAAACATTTCTCTAATTGGGTGGTCACACACTGTCCCTTGTTTCTTTTATATATATAAAAGAAACATATACATATATAATATGTATATGTATGTATACATATATATATATGTATACATACATATACATATTATATATATATATATGTATATATATATGTATACATACAAATATATAATAATATATAATAATATATAAATATATATATATATAAATTGTGTATTTGCATGGCAAATAAAACGATGCACTTAGTTACGTTATTTTAGGTAATTTCAGCATTTTTCTTGTCATTTGTGGCCACGTAAGGCTAACAACAGTGAACAGCAAAGTTTTAAACAAGCAATGTAACTCAGTGAGGTTTTATTTCTTTGCTATCTCACTTCACAAGAACGCTACAAGAAGCGATCCGGAACACTGTGTTGCTTTGTGATTCTCTGAGGTGTGTTCTGGCCAGCATCAATGCCCTTAAGAACCCTTGAGCAAAATCTCATAGCACTCTTGTCTTTACCTGAATTGCTGGCGTTTAATGCCTATAATTCAAAGATGTCCCAGAAGAAAAATGGAGGTGCGATTACAATTTCCTTAATTAGAGTTGATTACAAGACAGCCTAACAGCCTTTTCCCCAAATATAGCCTGTTATAAGGGGCAAATATGTATCACCTGATGGAAGTAGATGTTCCATGCCACCTTGAAGGTACTGTGGGTTAAATGGGAAACAAAATGAAAAATGGCAGTTCAGAAGGCTAATATACCATGCAGTTAATCCTCTTGAGGCAACTAGCTTCTTGGTCTCATGACTCCATTATACAATGTAATTGGTTTTAATAACACAGAATACAAAGTAACAGAGGGGAATACTTGGCTCTGTACAAGAACTTGTATAGAAGCATTATTAAGATCTATAACGACCCATGTAAGGATCAGTAGAAAGATATTAGATAGCCTTACGCATCAGTGATAGAAGACAGCCTGTGTAATTACTGAGATAAAACTTGTAGAGAAAAACTTTTAAGAGTGATAGCCTTCCACAGATCGATTCTGCCATAAAATCTTATTTGAACTATCATATTTAAGCAACTGCTTTCACTACTAAGACAAAGCTTACTAAGTGGGGGGTTACACTCTGAACATAGTTCTTCTAAAGCAGGGTCTCCAAAGGGCACTTGTGTCAATTCAAACGGCCGTGTCTTGATCCAGCAGTTCTACAGTCCAAACTATTTCTACAGTCCAAACTTGCTTTCAAACAGGCTTTTCTCACCTGAAATTGCCTTGAAGTACTTCCTAAACATCTGCTCAAAACCAGCTTTAATTCTTAGGATATAACACTCAATTCCATTAAACGAACACACAGCCTACTTTTTCTTTTTCCTCTTAAAAGTAACATGTGACCGGGCACCATTGTTTTAATCAACAGTTAGAGGCTTTCTTCAAGGGAGGGAAGAAACTGCCAGTAACACCAAACCTGGAACACCCTGTCCCTAAACCTGTAACCTTGCCTGCCTTGTCAGCTGGTCAGTATTTACCAGATTCCGTATGCTCAACACCACCACAAAGCTTTTTGTCACACATACAGACAATACTGGGAGCTAGCTGATTCAATTCATCAGTGAATTCATATTTACAACAGAGATGCAAACTCAGAATCCGCTTCCTAAATGGTGACTGAGTGGGGAGGAGTGAAACGAACCATGGAGGCAATCCACTAAGGCTTACTGCTCTGTCTCTTTTTATATATATATAGTATGTGTATACAAAGTTTTATATAATGTGTCTACATGCATACATGCAGAGAGACAGCGCGCACGCATTGCCCTCTACTGGCCAGAGCCTGGTATGCAGAGGTCCTCCTTTTCCAGCACATTGCTCATATGTGAACTTCAATGAATGCTTGACAGGACCACACCAGTATGTGATACCATTTCCTGCTACTCACTGATATAATAAGAGGCATCCCCTTCAATTCAGTAAACTTCAAGGCTTTCTCCAAACCCACTTTTAAGGCTTGGCATTTTGCTGCTTCCTTTCCTCCTAAGTGGTGATACACACAGCAGGACAATGGAAAATCATAAAAACCTTGCATCCAAGCGGCTTACAGGTTAGCCTGTTTCTATCTACTTACCCACAGGCAAAGCTTTTACCATATTATGTTACATTCATAAGCGCCCTTTTTTGCCCTCACAGTTTACCACTTTAATCAAATACCAGGCTGACGCGACAGAAGAGGAAGACAAGAAGGAAAAATGAGCTAAGGAAGGGCACAGACAACTACTTTTAGACCAATTTGCTTCTAATTCTTCCCTCTACTCTTAATAAGTATAGTCATTTTATGTTTCAACATGAATATGAACATCAAAAGACAGAAGAAATGAATAAAGGGTGAGAGGTGAGGTGTTTTGATTCTTAACATCTCCCTTCTTCCCAACACTAAACAGATTTTTTGTTTTAAATGTCCACTTGTATGTTTGAAAAAAAAAGTGTAAGGACTGAAAGTGCCCACATACGTTAGACAAAAATCAGAATATTCTTGAATTTTGGAAGCAGTTCAATAAGTTCAACAAGTCCAACTGTAAGCTCCTTAAAGGATCTTCACGTTATCTGAATAGTCTGTAGATCATCTTCCTGACAGTGAGTGGTCATAACGTACTATTCATAAGTACAAACAGACAGACATAAAAATATAAGTAGACTGGGGTTCTTGGAAGTGGGGGGAGAAGGATGATTTCTTTGCTATTTTTAATGTACTCACCTAAGGCCCAGTATGACACAGCTTCCAAAGGTGGGGAACTGCTGCAGATAGCATGGATATACATGAGGTGTATCATTAGCTCAGCCAAGCACCACCAAAAGAAAATACGAATTATGCCCACGATTAAGATGCCAACATTGGTCTTCAAACTGAAGGCTTCTTGTTTCCTCATCTAAATGAAGAAACCCAAAGAGGTTACATGACACATAACTGACTGTTTTACTCAAAGACTCATCTTAAGAACCCCTCCCTTTTTTCATTTACTATTCATTTCAGTTCAAAGGTTTCATTTACTATTTATTACTACTAAGGGGGCATTTGACCACCCCGTTTGAGAATTCTGGACGCACACAGATGGAGTCTGGTTTCTTCTTTCTCAAACTCACTAAGAAGTAGAAATCAGCAAAGCAGAAATTTGAGAGGTAAGCAAAGCCAAGCAAGTTTCTAGTCAATACCTCAAGACTAGCTGCAGTATTTAAAAATATTCACTTCCATTCCCATGCAGCGAGATTCTCCCTTCCTCCAGATGACATTTCCATTCTCTCTGCATTGCAAAAACTACTTGTGCCGCCTGTGTGTACGGGAATGCAATGGCATCTGTTGGTGTGGTGCAATTTCCACACTAGGCACCCTAATGCAGGGGTATCCACACTACTCTTTCCTTACGCTATTCAGGTGCCAAAGGGTCTCTGGATTGCTTTGCTATTACATGCTGCCCAGTGCTTTAAACATATGATCTTTGTATCTGCTTCCATTTTGCATTTATTCCAAATGGACAGTTTAAATGGCCTGATTCCACAGGCATCTCTCTGAACGTACAGTGACGCAAAAGATGTTACTCTCTCGTAAAGCAAAAGATGTTACTCTCTCGTCCCTACGCTGTCACTTCAGAAGTTACATCCTAGTCACCAGCTGCTGCCAAACAAACATACTGCCAGGAGGCCTGAGGTCCATTACCCAGAATGTCATCACTTTCAGGATGGCCTGAGGAAGGGCTGCCCTGGTAACAGCCACTTTATTTCTGGAAGGCTGTCAAACTTCAGAGGAGTTTATTAAAAGCTGATTCTGACCATATGAACAAGTTCCTAAGCATCTAATCCAGACAAAAGTATCTACCCAGGAATAAGCATACATTTATTTGCAGTTTTAAGTATGGAACACACCATAATAAATACACGAAACACAGGACAACAAAATATGTCCTTTACTTTCTTTTTTCTGCGTATCTTCTAATGGCACTTAGCATTCTGAGGTCTGTTCACACAGACATACATGTATAACATAGAAAGAAAGGGACATATAAGAGAAAACCAAAAGGTTTGGAAGAAGGTTAAAAGTACTTACTAGAAGTAGAAAGAACAACCTGCCCACCTAATATTGACAAAAGGATTACAAGAAAATGTGGAGCTTTCACAGAAGAATCTTACCATGTGTTGTGAGTTATTTTTCCTTGCAAGTTTTGTGAAAATTCCCTCATGAACATCATGAGAATTACTCCAAGAACATACACAAAAAGACAGTATTCCCAGCTAATTCCTGTCATGTTGTAAAATTCTCAGAGAAAGCCCATCCCCTTCAGATTTGCTAGAACTAAAACACCTTGAATTGACAATGCTATTCAATTTCCAGAAGTATGTCATCAGTAACACGTCTCATGCAGGAGAAAGCCCTGTCCTTCCTTGCATCATGGTATGCAGACACTTTGGGAGCTCAAGGGAAAAAAAAGAAGCAACACCATCTGCCACAGAGTATTAGGACTACTTGGTCAAACTGTCCAAGCAGCCTACAGACCAGGCAGGTCCAATCCCAATGACCAACCATGAAAGTTTGCTGCATCAAACAAACATATTGATCCTGAGGTTACACTAATCATTCTCAAGTCCTACAGAACAAATCTGTTGTAGAAACAGCCAAGTGCTATTAATCATAAGAATTATAGAATCCAGAAATAGAATCATAAGAATATAAGAATCCAGAAGAGATACTCATTTCTTAATTCCTGTACTTTATCAATATCTGTGGATAATGGAAAAAAAAAGTTTAAAGATACTACATCTGTGAATGAGAATAAGATTGTCTAAGCAGCAATGCTACCAAATACAGAAAAAATAACTGCTTGCTCAAAAATATCTCAAATATCTGCCACCTGTATTGGATTGACTACCTGAAAACAGCTCTTCATTCTGCTCCTGTAGCATCACCAAGGTCAGTGAGACCTATGTGACATGCTGATCAAATGCCAGTTAAGTGCAAGTTAAAAATTAGATAAGACAAAGTTTGCAGTTGACACGTTTCTCAGGATACCCCAGAAGATTCTTACCATGCTAACTATAGTAAACAAATTGGTATACTATTACTTTACCTTCTTTCCACAGTAAAAAGCAAATATGATGAAATAATAGAAAGATAGGATTGCCTCAAATTTTTCTTTTTTTTTTTCTTCATCTGTCATTGCACGTATGCCAAGGTACATTCTTCAGTCTTTAACTGAACACCAACAATGCACATACATAAGCAACCCACCCCTCCACAAGTCAAAAACCTCCTCAAAATCCTAATCGTCTTAATAGCACAATATACCTACCATACAGTTAGCTCAGTTCACTTGAAAACAAAGCAGCATACTAATCTTATAGATAAATTTGTACTAAGTAGATGACATTTTGGAGACTACCATTTAATCACAGGTATTCGCACAATGCAACTTCAGATCCATGACAAGAAATGCTATGTTCTGCTTCTACCCAGAAATTAAGTAAGGCCATTGGTGAAATACTACGGCTCTCATTTCTGTCTAGCAGTGGATGCAAACTACCAACATTATTATTAACCTTTTTTATTCATGCAACAGTTTCTCTGCTTCCACTTTCAATACCTCTGCTTTCCAGCACTGAGCAGGAATCCTCTTCTCAGTCTCAACTTCAGTTAAGTGCTTCTGCAGTTCTCCATCTCCTTTTCTGATAGCAGCAATAAACACACTTTTTGTACTGTGTGCTTTGAACTAACTGCTACGAACTGCTATCTTCAAAACTCTTCTCTAACCTCAGCTGTCAAGGTGATGACGTGACTCTTACAAAAATACTTTTTCATGCATTTTGTCATACACCAAGAAACAAATTGTTCAATATTTTTTCTTTATGGCTTTAACAGAACAGGTCTGTGCATATTTAAATGACAATGTAATGCAAATACAGGCATCCCATTCTCCATGTTTGTTTTTTCCCCTCACTCTGTGTCAAACCAAGAATACAGACAGGCTTCGCACAGGTCTTTACTGAGCTGTATCAGATAAACTAACTTTCATTTCAAGACTCTGCACCTCTACATGCAGTTTTTCCATCCAGCTAGCTCCAAGCTGCCCTCTACTCACAGTCTTGTATACGGGTTCTGAAACACTCCTTGAGAAAAATAATTTCTCTCTGTGTGCAGTACAGTAATATAGGTGTTATTTAACACAATTTAAAAGCTATAAAACAATAAACAGTAAAGAAAACTTTCTGGGCATCCATATAAGTCAGTCTAGCAGAAGAACAATCTTACTCATTTGAAGGTTTTTAAATCCCCATTTCTCCTAGGTGTTGTCTTTTCCTGAACAGGGTATTAAAGATGCACAGATGATTGGCTTGTTCTCAGTGAAGCCTGGAAGATTGCTTATTACATGCTTCTGTCAGTCTCACAGATGCTTTTGCTTATCTGACTCATCTCCCTTAATGGCATCGCACTGGCAGTAAGCACTTGAAGAAACCAACTTTTCTTCAAAGTGGTGAAAGATCATTTGACTCTGCCCCTTTAATCTGTGTAACACTTCCTCCAGTCACAGCTCAGGGAGCATCTCGGCATCTCTGCTTCCTACTTGACAGCATCCAGTCTCCAGGTTCATTTAAGAACTCATGCTGAGATATTCAAACATACAGAGAGGATTTGGACACCTGCCTACTATTAAATGTAATGGAAAATAAGCATGCAAATGCATTAGTCAGCCTCAGAACTTTAGTGTCTATTTAGGGACCTACCTTGCCTCTCCTATTTCATTTGTATGATTCACAAAAGCTTAAGGGCTTTTAGTAAAGGAATCAGACTGTTTCCCGCTGCAGCAGAAGGCAAGTGGAGCCCATCCTTCCAGGCTGACTCAGCTACAAGGACACCTTTTCTGGAGCAACCAGCAACCAGCACAAGACCTCACTTTTATCAGTGTTTCTTCACTGGCAGAAAACAGCAACCTCAATGAACTGGGATTAATCTGACTTCTTTGAAGTGCTGACTACTGGGTATGTCTGAAGTAGCAAAGAGGAGCTGCACAGGAGAATTTTTTTTTTGTATTAAAATTATACACCAACTGCCCATGATAACCAGGTTAAAACTAAGATTTGCCATGTTTTTAAAAAGGCATTTTTTTTTTTTTAATAAAAATAATGTGTCATCAGAGGAGTTCCCCTACCATGCACACAACAAAAAAAAAAAACAACGCAAGAATGATAATTTGCGTCAAGCTTGGGAAACAATACTGTGGTATAAATTTTATGATCAAAGTAGAAATCTGACCAAAATCATCCACCTAAATGACAGGAACTCACTTGTCACAAAAGCATGAAACCAAACATTTACTTAGGCTTCCTGTCAGCTTAGATAAGCTGCAACTTCAGATAAGAAAAAAAAGTCCCGCAGACTTTTTCTACAACATCTTGTCCAGGATAATAGAGTTTAGCCTTGCATTTTCCAGAACTATTAAATACAAATGAGTATCAGACCTGCCACTTGTGCCCACTATTACCTCAGTTTTCACTTTCATAAACCCAAGTCTCTATTTGTTACAGTTTCAACAGAAACTTACCAAAAATAAACAGAAGGAATACACAGGCATCCATATACAAACCATAAAACTGCTGTTTCAGTTTAAACTATCCACTCATCCACTTTACCCAAACGTTAACTATAAACATCATTGATGGTTATTTCATTGCTTACTTAAGTGTGCAAGAAAACAAGAAAAGCAATAAAGTGTCAGACCAAAAAAAAATCCTAGAAGAATTAGAAGAAGAATTAGAATTACAAATTCTTCTAAATCCTTTAGAAGAATTTCAGCTTCTAAACTGGTAGAGAAGGGAGGGATGTCTTCAAGTTGGCATGCAGGACACTACCAAATTCCCAGTGATTCACTCCCAACTGTCCAGTCTTCATGTTCCCATAATATTATTTGATATTATCAAAATTATGGGGAATACTATTTTAGACATACTATCCTAATTACCTAAAGACTACACAGAAACTGAAATCATTTAAATAACAAGAATAGTATTATAGAATTAGTTACTGATACATTCTTATGGAAGCTACAATGCACATAAAAACACCTTTTCTATAGTTTGTTTGTTTGTTTTTTTTTAAAGTAACTAGTTGAAAGAAAAATATTCATTTTCGAAGGAGAGAGTCTAATAGAAGAGATTACTGTCAGCTTTCAGTAACTATTCTGTTTCTTTCTACCTTCTCCCTAACACTGGAGTCCAATCAACCTCTCTCCACCCAATCACTAGATATAAAAGCTTATTTTGATATTTTTTCCATCAACCAACCAAATATATTATCAATGTTAATTATCAGCCTTATACAAATTCACTATTATTTCATGGATGGCATATAAACACAAAGACTTAAGATTTGTTTCCATCCACAGCCTTCCCTTCCACAAGCAGCTTACTTCAACACTTGCCAAGAAAGGGACAAATACATACCAATGTCCCTAATGAGACACCTTCTCTTTTGAAGTCTCATCAACATCCATTTTGTCAAAAACGTAACCAGAAAGTAAATATAAACTCAGAGTCATCTGCAACCTACTTTTTTATAGTGTATTTCAACAGGTATCTCAAGGTATGAAATATCTCTTCATATTATTGCAAGGGTGAAAGCATTGTCGTCTACCTAAAATTTTGCTCATGATCATTATTAAAATGTCTCAAAATATGAAAAATGAAAATTAATCCATCACATCTAATCTACTTCTAATAAAGAACAGATTCTGTGTCCAGACTTGGCAGCTGAAAAGAGATCACCACTTTCTTCAATATTTCTTAGTCAAGTTTGACTCAGACACAGATGCGCTGGAAGTCTGTAACTGCATTGTCTTAAAAATACTCTTACCTGCTTACTAAATTCATCGAAGTTCATAAGGGGTCCATTGTGGAACAAGGGATAGTAAAACACGTATGCCAGCATCCACAGGAACGAATGTGATGATTTCTGGGCAGGCTCGTGCCAGCAGTATTCCAGGCTGAAACTCGTGTAGAAGAGGCAGCGGACAGACACCGTGAAGAGCAGCAGATAATACTCATTTTCATTGTCGTACCACTTTCTCTGTGAGACAAAGAAAAGTCAGCTCATAATGGTACAATGCTGTGGTTTTAAAATTGCAAGACAAATGTTATCACTCAAGACCCTGACATTTCAGGTCACCAGCAGCAGAAAGCAACTAAAGTTAACGGAGGCCAGAATGAATGTCTGAAGTGAACATCGCTAACATCTGAAGAGTGAGCGCTGGCTGCTGAACGAGCTGCTGATGGCATAAAATTATAACAGCTTAATTCCAAACTGTAGTACATTTTGAAGAACTATGAAATTAGGAGAGCTTTTCTCACAGCAGTGCTATTTTTTCCCCCTCAGGTTTTGTCCAGTAATAGAGTATCCAAAATAGCTGGCAATCGTGTTGATAACTGAAGAGCTACTAGGACTGAAGCCAAGGCTACAATTCAGACCTAAAGAGATTGAGACACTCACTAGGAAGCCCAAGGCTAGAAAGATTTTTCTGACCCTTTGTCATGTTTATGATATTCCCTGTTGCACATTTTCTACAAAAAAATAATATGTATATACATATATTTATATATGTATATTGGTACTCACCCATCACAACAAAACTCAGAACATTAGCAAATTTAATTTGTCTGATTATATTTGTTTGTAGTGGGCTTTAGAAGCCCTTTCATCTCTCAGTGAGACAGAAATCTACCTATACCACACAGAAAACCTATACCTTCCTCCTCAAAATTAAAACAAACCTTGCAATGTATTCGTAGTTTTTTTCCTCTTAGTCCAAATAAATGCAAGGATGACATTTCTACACAACTAAGAAGCAGTTTTTCTAAAATCTGTGTTGCCAAACGCATTAGTGAAACAGGAAAACTGAGTTTGCACCAAACAGTTGTGAGCAAGCAACTTGTCTGGTCAATCAAAATGTCAGAGAAACAGTCTTTATTTCCATGCAGAAGCCTGCAGACACCAGTTAAGATCCTGTCAGTCTTAACTAAGCAATTCCTGGATATGAACCCTCAAAATCAGCACTTTAAATTGGTATGATTATACCTCTAACAGAGGAGAAATATGTTTACTCTAGGACTGGCACAGTATTTATCATACTCCATCCCCATGGGGTAATTCTTCCACATTAAGACACGTAATTTCATCTCAGTGCACTGATCAGCATGACTGAGAGGAATGTCCACAACTACCCATAAATTACAATTAAGCGTGGTGAGGCCAAACCACATCTCAAGAAGCATCAGAAATCCAGATCTCAAATCCAAACCCCAATGCTGGGGCAAAGCGGATTTTTCAGATTCAAATCCTAATGAGCAAACCAACAGGAAGACAGAAAAATATCCATGGGCTTTCCAAATGATTAATTGTGTGGATGTTATGTACAGCGCTGCTCTCAATGGACAGAACAGAGGAGGATGTGTTGGTGTCTCAGTCTCAACGGCATCTGAGAAATTTAAAGAGGTCTGACACAAATGAAATTAAAGGGACACAAGTTCATCAATAGCAAAATGAAGCAGATCCCACTATACACAAGTAGTTAGCAATAGCACAAAGAAAAAATAGCCTGATACGATAAGGGCATGGATTTGAGTAACAGCATCAAAAAGCAAGCAGAAACATTTGGTTTTAAGTATTTGGAAGACTTCCACTATCAGCCATCAGCACTTGGAGTGGAAAAGGAAGGGAAACGCCATATTTGTGTCACAGCAGTCCTTCCTCCGGGATTTTACTCCAAACCACAAACCAAGTAAAAGAGAACAAGAAAAAATAGCCAGCAACAAAAATAATTCATAAGCGGGGAAAAGTAACAGCATGTGGGCCACTCAGCAATATTCTTCAAAGGAAGATGAAAGAGAGGACAATTTAAAATGCATGTCCAGTGTAGTATCTATATGGTCAAGCAAAATTTTGGCCTGCTGCTGTGACTGTAGAATTCCAAACTATTCCTTCTGTCAGGATGACAAACTTACATCAAAAACACATGGCTTTATAAAAGAGCTGGGATGTAATTGTGTATTGCTGGCACAATCTCTAGTATCCTTGTGAAGTCAGTCCTTCAAAAGTCACATATCAATTCCTTCAGAATAAGTACAAATAATTTAACATTTAGAAGATACGGTATTTAATTCCTGCAAGGTATTCAGTATTTCATTTCATGCAAGTTACCAACAAGTTTGAATTGGCTTTTGAGTAATGCCTCAGCAGCAGACTTTGCTTTTAAGGAATGCAAGTGCTGGCTTCTGCTATCCAGCCTAACATTCAAAACGCAGCCTAACATTCAAAATAATGAACAGAACCTTTCCAAAAACTGCATCAGCAAACAGGGACGTTGCCAATTTCTGGGCAATAGACAGAGATGTTTACAGTAGGTACAAAGGCTACCCCAAATAAACAAGGAAGGCTCCTTCATCAACTTTCCTAGCAGTATACTTAAGCAACAACCACGTGGATACCACTCTGTAGCACTGATCGCCAGCTCTATAAACCAGGTGGGGAGGGAAATCCATATCACCTTCTACTAATATCTACAGGTTATTAATGAAAGAACACATTTGCCCCGGGTCTTACCCTCCAGTTTCCACTACATATTTAAATAATGAAGGATAATCTCATGTGCTGGGTCTGACCAAAAGAGAGAGAAAGAAGCCTGAGAAAAATACTTTGGCCACAATACTCAGAAAAAGACAGACCAATCAGCAGGTAAGATAGGAAGAGAGAAGTGTAAATCTGTCTCCCATTTCTTTCTCAGTTATCCTGTATTTAATATTTGATACAGGGACAGTCATTTATTTTCTGAACACAGGCTGGAAGTCACTGAGGGTGTGCAAACATGTCTCTGTGGCAGTGAAGGAAAACAAGATTTTGGAATCAGGCCACAGACACTGAACAAATGTCTTGTCACCTCTTCTTTTCAAAAGAAGAACCAGAAAAAAAAATCAGTTAAGGTCTTTGATATATTCACACATTCTAAGTTAACCAAATTTATAGGAATTAGAGCAAGGCTCATGTTTTTATTTCTAGTTGCCAACCTCACAGCAAGGTGGTAGTGTATGTTTGTGCTGTGAAAATTTAATCACGGGCACAGCTGCAACATCCCAATTCCTGTTTCTGAGAACCTCTCTTAATTGAGGTGTGTACTACAGAGTTTACAATCTGTATAACTGATGCTGTGCTTTTGCATATAATTGGCCACAATTCTATGCCTGATCATAGGCTAAAGTCAGCCAAGATACCAACACATTATCACAATGACTGGATGCTTTTCTCAAGCAATGCCAGACCTCTCTGGCATCCTCTTGAATGTACACTTCCTCTTGAACACTAGAGTCGAGTTTTACCGAAAACTTCCACCACACGGAGAGCTTTAGCTCTAATGGATTGCATTTACACTGAACATCAAACATTGTCTTACCGACTTACAAAGTTTTCCCAAATGTTCCTGGGGTCTGTTAGCTTCATCTTTAGCATTTGTTTGGCATTAGGCACCAATTCCTCCACTGCTCTTCCCAAACAGCAGTACACACATTATAAAGAAGCTATTTTAGCTTCTCTTTGCTATTCAGGTGACAGTACAAGAGTGGCACTTCTGTGCAGGAGCAGCAGAATGAACAGCTCTGACCAGAGCTGCTGAGCCTGCTCCCATGCACGCTGAACTCAGAGTGGCAAGTCCTAGTCACACGAGAGGCACTGCACGTGGCTCCACAGTCAGCAGAAAGACAGCAAATGGAAAGGAGGTAGGAGGGAGGAAAAATAAGGAAACAACTTTTCCTGTAGGGCAAAAGAGGTGTCAAAGGAAAACAGATGAAGTCAAGAATGGTGAATAAGAGTGGAGATCAATAAAAGTAACAGAAGTTACAGTAGACAGCATGCTCATGGATCTCTTGTTAAGGTTTAAACACTCCCTTACATGGTAAGAGACTGCCATGTTACCCTGCATAGTTCTTCCATTCATTTGGCATAACTCAGAGTAAGAATGCAGCCGGGTCTCAGGCACAGAAGAGGAGCTCTGCTGAGGAGCCATCTGACCAGATACAGCTCTAGAAGGCTGGGCTTTATCTAGAGAAGTCACTTGGAACCATTTTCTGCCCCTGATTGTCTCTTCAAAAGCAAACAGAACAGCCCAGGCTTTTATCCTTGCATGGGTGACAGACCTCTCTCAGAAAAACCCCACAGGCATTTCTCAAGCATCAGACCACCACCAATTTCACTCCTCTCGTTTGCTGTTTGAGAGTCCTGCAGGACATCAACATAGAACAAAGAGGAAGGAGGGAACAAAGGCAGTAACAAACACAAGAGCTAGAGATGGCAGCCTCAAAGAAGTATATCCAAAGCTTTAGAAGAAGCGTGTAAACAGGCTAGCATGTACAGTACGCTGAATTTAACCTGATTGTGTCAGCTGTTATCTAAAAGACCAAAGAACAGTAACTGTGACTTCAGTCACACGCACCATTATGAATCAGGTTACGTATTATTGTCGTGAGCTACCTTTCATTTTATGCCTTGAAAAAACACCCAAATCCACACTAAAGCGAGTGCTCACCAAGCTTATGAACATATCTACATTTCTAATTGAAGAAGCTCTCACGTAACCCATATGCAGTTATATACTTCCTGAAGGTTTTCAAGCCAACCTCTGTTTAGACCGACTGAAGGGGCAGTAGTTGGTCTAAAAGATGGCTACTGTAACAACAAATAACACTGTAATTAATTTGATGCTTAATCCATGCTTCTGAAATTACCTTGGCTTCTTCCACAGCTGGTATGTGTAAAGTGGATAACAGGACAAGAGAGCACATCCATGTCAGGAGCGAGATCTGAAACTGAGCCACAGCAAACGAAATAGTTGCGTATAGCAAGATGACCGCAAAGCCCTTGATTCCTAATAGAAACCAGCAGGCAGCCATTCCATACACCATCAAGCACCATGGTTTATACTGTTTGGAAAAAAAAAAAGAAAAAGAACAATTAACAATTTTTAAACTTTATTTCTAAAGCAAAAAATACGTGTACTGTTCTATACATAGTAGAGTGGCAGGCTTTCTGTTCACATAGCTAACTAGAACACACAGAAGTTCACTACTGTAAGTTAAATACATACATACCTTCTCCATGAAGAGTCTGCACATTTGTGATACCAGCAGATGACCAGCCAGAAGCCACAGTATACGCTCCCTTCCCCATTCAACCCAGTAGCTCCACTCAAAATCCAGGGGATCCTGGGCACACAAGAGAATTGGTAAATGTGCCTAACCGCAAGGCCATATTCTTAAAGGTCAACAAAATGTCTCAGTAACATACGAGGTCCGTTATCCAATACCACAGAACTTGATCACGGAAGAATCTTTTGTTTAAGCAATCCTGTCTGATTGTTTACAGTGGTGAGCTCCAACAACTCTGTTTTGACTTCAAATGCCCTAAAATCCACAGAAAGATGCGGAAGAGCAGAGGGGCATTGCCAGCACAGAACAAGAAGTGCACTAAAGGGAGCTGATACCTGCCCCACCTGTACACGAAACTGACAGCAGCAGGAGCCTGCAGGGCCCCAGGTGCAGCATGAAAACACTGCCACTGACAAAATACAAGGTTGCAGATGGCCCAAACCCCAAGTCAATTTCAAAGTACGTAAGCTCTTAAACGTTCCCATGACAGGGAGATACATATTCCACTTCTTTCTGCAGGACAGGCTCCAGATCACTGGATAAATTAATCCAAAGTTTCCTTGTGCTGCTGCATGCTCATGAGCAGCTTATCAGGTAAGAGATAATTGAGCAAGAATGAGTGCCAGGCACCTTAAGTATTTGCCTGAACTCTTTCTTTTGCTGAAACCTATTGAAAACAACAAAACCAAGACATGCTCTCAACAGGAGGCAAGCACATGGCCCACACACTCCTCAGGGTTGCTTTTGAGATGGCCTGATTTAACAGAAAGGTAGGCAGTGCAAAGGAGCTGCAAACAAAAATAAGTAGGATGGTGTCAAGGAAACCCTGCCTGGTGACAAGTGTAGGCAAATCACATGCAACCGGATCAATTCACCATGTTATCCAACCTGGACAGCACAAAGGAATATGGAGTACCAACCACTACTTCTATTCCCAGAAGAGAGGGCAATAGATAGGTGAGAAAAGGTGAAAGTGAAACCAAGTCCTGACTGCCATACGTGCATACCTAGACTTTTCTGAGGAATAAGGAAACTAGCTTGGCAAACTTACAGTTTGGATGAAACAACACCTTGCTCTAAGATGATTTTTACTCACTGTTTCAATAAAGCCTAACTGTGACCAGGTGAAGCCAGGTCAGGTTGAAACTCCTGAAACATGCAAATATCATTTTAAGCTAGATAAAAGGGATCAGCTGGCAGCCCCCACTTCCCTGCTAAAAGTTAGGACTCACAAACACACACAGCTGCCTGCATGACTAGACCTAAATTCAGCATCTCATACACTTCCAATCTCCAGAATATTTTATGGCTTTCTGGAAAGCACCTGTAGAGGGGCCCATAACAATGGTGACAATGGGCCTAAAAACCAAGATAACTCCACAGATATGCATTTTTAGCCTCGTTTAAATCACCTTCAAAATTAATTGCATGGTGAATTTTCTTCAAAAAGAAGTGGGGTGTGTTATCTGGGATTTAGTTTGTCTTAAAACAAAAACACGTTTCTTTAAACATGAATGCTTCAAAATCTGTTCTCCTCTATGGGGGGGGGGCTACAGGTCAATCAAGGGTGCAACTATTGGTCACTGATGTTACACATTACCCAAACAGCCAGATGACATGAAAAACGGAAAAAAGGCTGGAGGAAATGTAAATGATGATCAAAGCCGTGAAGGCCAAGTAGCAGCACAGAAGATTATTAAGTGATATTACTAATGAGTAACACTCAGACCAGCAACCAGAAAAAAACTGCCATTATGGTGCTTAAATCTAGATATGCCTGGCAAATCTTTTTCCTCATTAGAAATAAACAAAGGAAATTAACTATGACTGTGAAAATCTGTGAAGTTACTGTGAATTTCTGAGGCTAAATTTGTACCTCTGGTGAACAAAAGTCACTTTTGGAGCTGTTTTGTTAGCATTATTTCCATGTTATTGAAAGGTAGTTCAGGTTAGCCTAGGTCACAGAGGAAAAGGTGCTGGAAACAAGAAACTTACAGTGCTTATGTTATATCACTCCACCCCTCCAAGAAAAATAAACCTGCTTGATCCCACAAAAGAGCAGAACATCAGAAAAAGCAGATTAAGTACCACGGTATCTCTCGTCTTGGAGGCACTTATCTGCTTATTTGTACATTAAGAAAAATACACAGTGCCTGTGCTTTGAGTTTTTTTGTCTTGTTCTTCACAGAGCTTTGGACTCTGGAGTCTATGGGAGTCTGGCTATGGAGGAAGAAAAATGTGTCAATGAAACAGGAAAAACATTAAAACACGTAGCAGTAAAGTTTCCGTACAAAGTACCAACACAGGAAAGAAAAGCCCAATAAGAAGCACAGTAAATTGTTCTATGATCTCTTCTTCCAGCAAAACACTGCTCAACACATCAACTTACTGCAAGGAGGACTTTAAGGAACTGCAGGGACAGAAGCTTGCAGCAAATCAACAAAATAAGAAGTGCTGGTAATGTTCATTATTCCTACCTTTTTAAGGCCCCAAAACAGAGTCCCTTGTTCCAGTCCAAAGTTTCTGTCAATGTCACCTTCATAGTCTACAAAGAATAATAAATCTTCATTAATGACATAATCCTAAAAAAAAGCAAGGGTCAGCAACAGGGCACTCTGCTTCTAAATAGCAACAAATTTCCCTCATCTTCTTCACAGCTGTGGATGCTTAGAGCTGGGGAAAGGAAGATGTCTGCAAGGAAGGAACTCTGACGTGAAGCCAGCACCGTTTCCTCCTTCCCACTAGGCACAAAGAAGAGGCCCCTCTATAGCCAGATCCTGGACTTTGACCTCTGCTCATCCTGAGCCTTTGGATAAGGAATACTGAACAGCCTTGACCACTAGACCCTGTGTGTATTCACCACAACAGGGGGAATTAACCCCAAAATGCACTTAAAGAATCATTTTCTGGTTCCCCCTTCCTCATCCCCACCCATCAGGCATTTACACGCTTGCCTAAGTTTCCCCCAGCGTATCCTCAGCTCTAAGCTGAACACTTACCATCTCGCATAAAAAACAATATTAATTTAAAACAATAATTATTCTAAAATAATAAGCAGAATAGACACAACAGAAAGCTGAGCTTGAGTCATTTAACACACAAGACCTATAATAATCATATTTCCTTATCTTTTAGGACTGTTTGATATCTCCCTCTAGTGGAAAAGGAAGACGTGGGACGTGAAGGCAACTTATAAAAAGTGTGCAGTAAAGCTTTTCAGTGAACAAGCCTCAACCATCAGTTTCAATGAAGCATTTTGACTTCTTCACGGGTGCAAAAACGCACGCATACCCCGGTGTGCATTTATCAAGTACCTGCCCACTCCGGTGGGAGTGCATTTCTGGCTTACTGCCACTAACTTGCACGTTTGGAAGGCAGCAAGGTTAGTTAGCACAGCACACCTTGCTCATTAAAGCCTAGCAGGATGCAGCACACAGTTCTCCAACTAGGGGTTATTCTGCATTAAGTAACAGCCACTTCGTTACCATTACTGTATGAATGTGATGCACTGGGAGGCGCACAGCCCACAGGTGCCAGGTCTTTTCCTAAGAAAGCCTGAGCTTCAAAGGTGTCCATCACTTCTGTCCTGAGTGCCGAGGTACCATCACCGAGGGCACTCCCAGCGCTTTGGGCACAAACTTTTAACACGCTTGGAGCCGCAGCCCCGGCAGCACGGGCAGCTCGCCAGCGGTTGCTTTCAGGCTGCCAGCCAAAGCACCGATGCTTTGGGGCGCGGGGGAAGAAGCAGGGGAGACTTACTGTGCGAAACTCGGTGCACCTCATAGAAAGAATACAAGTGGGAGCCGACCGTCAGGCACAGGTAGGCGGCCATCTCCCAGCCCGGCAGCACCCCCAGCCCCGCAGCCGCGCTGCCGTCCATCGCCCCGGCGGCAGCTCCGCGGCGAGCCCTTAAAATCAGCCGGGCAAACACCGAGGCAGCCCGGCACCGAGACTTCCGCGGAGCTGCGGGCGGACACAGCCCTCGGTGGAGCCCGGCGGCCCCTCCCCGCGAGGCTCGGGGCTTGCCTCACGGCTCCCCACGCGTGCCCGCGGCCATCTCGCATCGCCCCTGCCCCCCTCCCCGTCCCGGTGCCCCCGCTGCCGGGCTGCGGAGCGGACACCGCGGCCTGGCCCGGCCCCGCCACGCTTCCGGCTCCGGGGCTGCAGCTCCGCCCCGGGACCGGCCGCTGGAGGCTCCCGCAGCGGGGCCAGGGCTCCCTGCAGCGGGTTGCGGGAGCCCAGGGAGCCCCCAGAGGGGCTGGGGAGGACGGGGGGTGTCGGGGAGAAGGGGGGCTGTCGGTGAGATGAGGCGGGCTGAGGTGGTGCTTGGGAGGATGCTGCTCGTGTCTCGCCATCACGTAACTCAGTCACGGAAACGTCGCTGCCTTCCGGCGTGAAATATGCAGCAGATGTGTGGTGGACATTGCCTCAGTCGCTGCCACAAGGCTGGTCTCCTGTCCCATGGCTCTCACCTACTTTTGCTCCCCTTTCTGGCTGAAGATGCCTGTAGGGATGCAAAGCACCTGTCTCCAGTTTCAGGCGGCATTTTATGTCCCTGTCCTACCTGCACCTCTCAGCAGGTGTCAGGGACTCTGCTGTTCCTGGGGAATCGTTTGTGTTGCCCGCTTACAATCACAGAATCATTAAGGTCCGAAGAGACCTCCAGGATCATCTGGTCCAACCATCCCCTTACCACCAGTGTCACCCACTAAACCGTGTCCCACCTTTCCTTAAACACCCCCAGGGACGGTGACTCCACGACCTCCCTGGGCAGCCCATCCCAATACCTGACTGCTCTTTCTGAGGAGAAATGTCTCTTCATTTCCAACCTGAACCTCCCCTGGCACAACTTTAGGCCATTCCCTGTAGTCCTATCACTAGTTATCTTTGAGAAGAGGCTGATCCCCAGCTCCCCCCAGCTTCCTTTCTGGTAGCTGTAGAGAGCAACGAGGTCTCCCCTGAGCCTCCTCTTCTTCAGACTAAGCAACCCCAACTCCCCCCAAAATATAACAACGTTTGCATAACAGCACCAGAATACCACCACTGTTAAATTTATTCAGAATTCCTACCGTACCTTAGCAGTTCTGGCCACTAAGGGTCAGTAAAGCTTATATTTTCCTACAGTTTTGTGGTTTCTCTTTGACAGCATGAAGTCAGTGCAGAGAGAAGGCCCTCTAGATGGCTGCATAACACAAACTGTATGTGTGTAGAAGCGGTTTTGCCACTTTAAAATGGGAAGAGGTTACATCTTGTACATCAGGTTACATTGAAAATGACATCTTTTTAATTAGTAATATGGTGACATCCAGGGGGCCATGCATATTCTGTGACCGTGTAAGCTGCTCTGCTTTCATAAAGTTCACTGCCAAGCTAATTGAGCAAGAACACCAACAAACTCTGACAATGGTCCCATCTGGAAGATTTTCCTGTCTGGACTTCTAAATTAGATGAGATTTTTTTTTCTTTCCACATTTATTCAAGCGATTTTATATAGTAAAATGTGAGAAGAATCTCAATGAATGACTTTGCAAGACTAGCTGTAAACTAAGCTGTTGAACATAGCTGGCACTGAGCTACATACCGACACAGCCCTTGCAGTTTTGGATGGCACGAATAAGAAGAGAATCCTGCTGTTGCGATAGTCAGTGACAGGCAGTTGATGAACTAGAAAGCCAAAACCTTAAAAAGTGATACCAGAAAGCCCCACTTACAATTTGATCAACAAGAATGTGATTATTTTTTTTTTTTTTAAACAGAACAATGCTGGAAGTGCTTCCCTGGGACTTGAGGAAGACAAATGCGGTTATCTTTTCTGCTTGAGGTGTTTTACCACTCCTACTCATTGCCAGAAGGGCTACAGGGTGCAGAGGTAACAACCTGCCAAAGAGATCCACGTCCCTCTTCATGATTGGGAGTCAGCAAGAAGGCTGACTGCTGTCACCTTGATGAGAGGTGTAGTGCCAACCCTCCTGCAGATCTGTCAAGGCCTCACTATAAGAGAGAGCCCATCTTTAGTACACGTCCTTGTCACCTTTTTTATTTCCGTTTCTTCTGAAGCTGATATATGCACTTGAGTTTGAAGTGTTGATTTTTAACTGTGAAGTTCAAATGCTCTTTGAGTCTCCCTTTCTTATGTGATGCCACTGTAGATGTGATCATCAGAAGCTAAAATAAATAAATAAATAAAATAACAAAATAATCCAGAATTAAGAAGAAGAGAGAGAGCAGATCTTTTAACAGGGCCCTTACTATTGAATTTCTGTGCAGGTTTTCCAGAGGTGAGCTCCTTGTAGAGCAGTTACTAGGGCCTCTTCATGACCATGGTGAAGGGACAGGGTGGGGGAGTAAAAGACAATGAGGTGGGAAAAAAGGCATTCTGCCCCTGGGAAAAAAAAATAAAAAATAAAAATAAACCAAAGCTCCTGTGTTGGGGAAAACCTTTTTTTTTTTTTTTTTTTCAACTTGTAATTTCTAAAATTAAATTAAGAAGTCAGAGTGAGTGTTTATGAATTCAGCAGTAGAGTCCTCATGCAGGCTAAATCACTGGGGTTCTTGTTTTTCTGAATACAAATTCCACCCGAGAACTACAAGCTGTGCCCTAGAACTTACCTTTGTGGGTTTATATATCACAGCGTTGAGCTGAGCCTCTTGTTTTCATTCATCCTCTGTAAATCATATGGTAATACCCCATGCACCCAACATCTTAATGATGGGACACAACCAGCATCTACTGAGAGTCTGCATATTAGAAGCTCAGCAGCATACAGGAGGATTAGCTACATACATTTTAAAGAAATAACAAGTGTGACAAGAAATCTCCATGTAGCAAAACAGCAGTATTAAAAATGGGGAAAGTCAGAAATATAAAAGGTGTGGTATTTACAAAAAGAGCCAACTGAGTCTTCAATAGCCAAGTTAAATACAACATAAGTGGGGTTAATGCGAACCCTCCCTCAAGAGATCTCAGGCACAAAGTTACGAATTCTAGGGAGAAAACACGTAAGTTTGCCCTTTTTTGTCTTGTTTTGCTTGGCTTTGTGAAAAGGAAACATTACACTATAGTCTTGCAGATACTCCCCTCTTTACAGGTTTCTCTCTCCTCTGACTCCCAGCCTCCGAACTGGGAAATGCAAAGAACATTTTTGTTTTTTTTTTTTTCCATCACTTTTAGCAACATACATGTATATGCAGACATTATTTATAAAGAGATACTTGCAATCATAAAGTCAGTGTTTCTGTGCACACAGATAAAATCATTTTGCTGGTTTCTTTTTAATGAATCCCTTGCATCTTCAAGAACTTGTTTCATGCTTTATGGCTGGAAAATTACCATCATGCTTCTGACTGGGGATTCATAAGATTACTTATGGAAAAATACAGCAAATTAATACAGTATTGTAACTAAGCAGTTTACCACTGGATTCATGCTGAACATCTCAGAGGTTTCCTCATAAACACACCACATGCCTTGATAAACCTAAGCCCTGAAAACCGTAGCTCCTGGTCAGAGCCTTCAAGGGATTTCATTCCTCATTACTTGAATGAATTCCTCATTCCTTCCAGTGAAAGCAGAACTGTAAGCTGAGTCCTTGCCCCCACCTGGACGTAGGGTTTACTCAGGTACAGTTACTGTAGCTGGGATGAAGTTCAGCTGTGCTACTTTGATCATGCTTGAGTCTTACTTAGCAGTCCCTGCACAGCTTGCCCCCTTTTATAGTCAGCTATTAAACACAAAGCTGTGTTTTGCTTTGCTTTGGTTTTCAGCATAATATTCTTTAAATACTGTCCAAATTCTAAGTGCCACATTATGGGATTTATGTGGAAAGTGAGTCAACTCCTATCTACCCTAGCCATCATATTGAAACTTCTCACGATTCCTAGTAAGGAGGTGAATAACCCACTACTGGAAGAGACCCTTCAAAAATCCCTTCTTCAGATACTTTTCTTACTGTTTTTAAAAAACAGTGGAATGAAATTCAGGAAAAAAAAAAAAAAAAAAAAAAAGGCCACATCACAGCAAGCTGACTCAATTATAATTTAAATTTATACAAATGAGGGCAAGATTCCCACCTGACCTGAGACAGGGCAAGTAGGTGACAAAATGTGAAGCTATCCTTAAGGTGTTTAAAATCTAGATATATTGAGGCTGCAAATCAGATGCAAATCTGTTTCTGTTATACCTCATTATACACATCTTTTTCAGAGGCATAGGAAGTTACTCCTATCTGTGTGCATCTATATTTAATCCATAGTCATATTGCTGAAAACAATGCCTTTTTAACCATTTCAGTGACTGGAATAAATGTAGCAAAAAATCCCCAACATCTCAGATTATTATACAATTGACCAAAAATATCCAGACAGAAAGCTCTCCCTCCCTGCCTACTGAGCAAGTTGTCTAAAGTCTCCATCTCTTGACATCTCTACTTTATATAAACAGCCAGTAAAGGATTGTTTCAGCTGCCACAACAAGCTGCAATTTACTGATTTATCCCTTACTTCCTATTGTTTGCCCTAGCCTTGTGAACAAGGAAGCATAAGTATCATTCCAGGTCGGTTATGTTTATTTCTATTTGGCAGAGTATTTTTCTTTTGTCTTTTTAAGGTCCATGGAACTAAGAAGGCTCAGTGGAGCTGACTGTTCCCAGCACCACAAACGGAGCCAGCGCAGCCCTGTGCAGTACCCAGCTATTCAGTGGGCTCGGAAACTTGACGCATGCTCCTTGGCTACCTGGTGCAGTTGTGACCTTATGGCTGTGGGGTCCCATTTCCTCTACACACACATACTGTCTGCATCTGCCTCCAAATTGTAAAATAAATAAATAAATAATGCTTATAGTTGCTTTCCTATCTGAATATATGGATGACATCTTAAGAACTACATGAACACTATATTACTGGACGGGAGGAGCCTTCCTCTAAGGATATTTCAGAAAATAAATATTTTTGTATGTTTTATCTGAGCAGCTTTCTTGCTTTGTGCACTGATTGCCTGCTAATTTATCTCCACTTTATCTTTTACCTTTCCTCAAAGAGAGGGTAGTACTCCAGAAAGAGCTTCCAACTCATAAAAAATTGACTTTAGGAAGCAGATAGACATCTTCTATTCTGTTTATGTGTTTATGCAGCAGACCATAAACTGTATATAAACGATAAGAAGTGCTCTGTCATACTTGAAGCATTTTTTTTAGATTGTTCTGACGATTATGCCTTTCAATGAGAAAAAAAGTCAAAAGCCCTCTTGGTGCTTGTGCAAAATGCCAGCAACATCTCACCCTTTGCAGATAATCTCTCCATATAATGGTGCTAAAATATTAACAAAAATTGAACTGAACTCATAAATATTTACAGCTATTTGAAATGCCAAAATTTTGCTCTGTGACTAGCACAAATCAACTGAGTAACATTGTGTACAATAAAAAAGTGGGTCACTGCCAACTGTGGCTTTTAACTGCAACGTGATTTGCAAATACGTCGAATTGCTGCCTGAGGACCAGGTACTGCTTTCAGTACACAATGTCTTCATTGACTGCTGTAGGTTTGAAATAGGTCTGAAGCTTCACATCTACCACGGACTGCCGTAAGCTTCCTACCTTCTTTAGTCTGAGAGCTTCTCGGTGGCAAACAAGAAGGGGATTCGCCTCCTCTCCCATCACATTGGTCCTTGTCTGCTTGCTTCTGTGATGGAGATGGTTGGAAACTCTGAGGCTGAAGAGAATAAAGGATCTGTCACCACTCCTGCATCCTGAGGTTTGCTGTGAGCTCTAGGTTGTGCCAAAGGGACATAACCATTAATATTTTAAATAGAAAGTGGTGATGGCTGCATTAGGGGTGGGGAGGGTGGGACCCGCTCTGGCTGTGGGGCAAGTGTGCTCAGCACAGCCCTTAGGGAGAGCGGTGCGACCTTCACCAAGCTCAGAGTCCTCCCTACAAGCTTTCTCAGCACTGTCTGGGACACAGCCCTCTCAGATGGCCTGCTTTGTTCAGCTCCAGACTTGCTGCTACTTGATCTGCGGCCGCACAAAGGACACTTGAGCTGCACGACTGCCCCTGACCTGTACTCAGAGGCCTCGGCTGCCCCGTACCACTCCCCACCGAGTTGTCAGCTTGCTTTTGGCTGAAGGCTCTGTGGCCATTTTGAGTGAAATACTCTGAACATCTCTCTCTTTGCCATTTCAGTTGCAACATTCTTACCGCAAGGCAACAGTGGGGAGCATTTTTGGTTTTCACTTTCTGTAGCATTTTCGAAGGGAACGCTAGCGTGGATTGCTCTAAAAACACAGCTGTAGGTCCTGCGGTATGACTTAAGCACTTAATCTGTCCTGATTGCTTTATAACAGAATGCAGAACACCATTCTTATGAGCTGTTTGCATTAAAGCTCACACTTGAAATGAACTTTTTATCATTGAAGTGTTTTCCAAGCATTAATTTCCCAACATCCTGTCAAATTATATGGCAAAACAAAGCAGCCTTATCACCATCTTACAGATAAAGAAATGGAGGTGAAGCGATCAAGTGACTGACCCAAAGCTCTGGAGAGAATCAGAGCTGGGACCGGGAGCTTCAGGTTTTGTCTTGCTCAGAACAATTCTTCATCCTTCCCTTCTGAAGACAAACTCTTGCCAGTAACAGTCCAGCTTTATCATCCTTCAGGGCATGCGGGAAGGCACATTTGCTTTCCCGAACTGAAAGGAGTTCTGGCTTTCTCACCAGAGCCAACGAGCCTTCAGCTACTGGATTATTAATGCCCGGGCCATATCTGCTCTTGGAGTAGTCTATTTGGATAATTGTGTTTTAAAAATGTGCCAAGGAGTGCTTTGAGAAAAGCGTTCCTTTTTAACTAATGAATGTTTACAGGGAATAAATATGTTAAAATAACACGTCAGTATTCTTCGCGTCAATAGCTACTCTCATTTATGGCCATTTTCTGAAACGGGGGGAATCAACAGAAGAGGCAGATGAAACAACTGTAAGTTAGATATATACCTTCTTGAAGGGCATAAATGAAGAAATTGCTAAGTTATTATAGCTTGAAAGCAAGTAATTTCGGGGGGTATTTTCTGAAGAGGGGAGAAAATAGGCAGAGAAGTATGATATTATGGTAAAGAGTGCTTCGGGAGGGCACTTATGTTCCCTTCCTGAGCTGCCTGCTATCTGTGATTCTTCAAAACATTATTGTTAAGATGAAAAACATTCAGTACAGCCTCAGAAGGATTTAAAAATTTGTACAATGTTTCAAGAGAATAAATGTGACCTATTAGCAAAGAATACTTTTCAACAGTAATTTTCAACAAATTGGTTTGTTTTGCACTACTGTATAACATCAGCATCTTTTCTTTTTCATTAAAACTAGTCATTTCTTGAGGCTGAGTGGGGAAAAAAAAAGACAGAAGAAAATAATTGTTAAAAGCAGCTTAAGTGCACACTACAAATTTTGATAATTTTCTGCTCTGTTACCACTTCTATTCTTAGTATTGCTCTTTCTGGGGAAGAAAACAGCAAATCTTATTTACTACTAATACTTTCATCCAGTGTCATCTGTGAATGCCAGATGTTCAGACACAAACTGTGCAGGAGCAAAAGTTGTCCATTTCCAAATAACCTTTTCTGATTCCCATTCAAAAATCTGCAGTCACTTAAACCTCGCCTGCTTGACAGCACACACACCCACACAAACAGGACATTGTTCTCTATTCATCATGCTTGAAAACCATGTCTGAACTTGTGCGATTAACAAAAAAAAATAAAATCATGTGGACTTAGCTGTGGGGTAGATATTCCACTAGTATGGCCAACAGCTTTTTTTTTTTTTTTTTTCCTTTTGTTAAGAGCACACAAAATAGGTGCAGTACAGTTTGAAAAATTAGGACTGGATAATGCCACTTTACCAGGGCAATGCATCTGGTTTTTAACTTTGTTTCAGGAGCCGGCTGGCAGCATGTATTGGCAGTGTAGCTGTTCAAGTATCTGAATCGGAGAAAGTTGAAGCGTCAGAGACTCTAACACCTTCCTTACATGAGATCATAGCTGGATTAGAAAATTAGTTTGAGAGTAAGACATCCTGAAAATGGATGTTGGTCAAAAGGAACAGCAGATTCCAGTTCTGATGGACAAGAAAACACTATCTGTACAAAGAAGAGCCTACAAACAGAGAGGACAAGCCAACAGTCCATGGATCCCAATCTAGTACCCACAGGTTAAAACTGAGTCCAGGAGTAGAAGGCACTCCTGGGAAGCCCTGCAGCCAGGGGACAGTAGCAGGAGCCAGCAGCAGCAGGGCAAGGAAGCATGTTTAAAACACTGACATGTTGTGCAGGGGGCTGCAGTCAAACTGGGTACAAGCACCACTCAATCATGCTCACAGCTGCTCCCACGGAGTTCGTATAAGCCTCCAAGCCCAGTACCACTGATGTGATCTTCTCCGGGATGTTTTCTGCCCTTCAGTAATGCTTTGGCAGGTGAGGAGGCCTACGGAAGTACATAGCCATTCCTGACTTCTGACCGCACTTCTCCAAAAGAATTACTTCCCAGCTAAGCCAAGTGTTTTGTAGGTACGAGAGGGAAGCTTTTCATCACGTGTTCAAGTAGAAAGATCATACAGGTCCAAATTACAATCTCATATATACAAATATATCTGCTAAGTGCGGATCTGCTTTTCTTTATGTGGACAGACACTGCCTTAACTAAGGAAAAGTTACCTCCACCTGGCAGCAAAGAGTTGTGTTTCATCGGGCACACTTATGTGATGGGCTTCCATGAATGAGGAAATTATTCTTTGAAAGAAAAAGTCCAGGTGCTTAACAGTCCACATGAGCTTCATTTGGTCATGTCTGCTTTCTTAAAGGCGTTCACTTTGGAGCTGGCATAGTACCAGAACAACTTCATTTTGAAGGTGTTAAATCACTCTCTGTCCTCCTCAAGAGGTGATTCCCATTCACCAAGGCAACCCATTCTCCCTCGGCTATCAATGTGCACTGCCCTCGCAGGGAAATGGGAGCTGCGTGCACGTAACCACCAAAGAGAGCATTCCCATCCCAATACACAAACCATACCCAAAGCATCTGTCCCTAATGCAAAGAACAAGCACAAAACCTTATGTGGCTACCAGGGACCCTTCAGGCTCCAGGTAAGAAAAGGGTTCACATTAATGGAACTGAAGTGCATGCTGAAGTGGTTTGCTGAATAGGACTGATTTGCTTAAATGAGACTTCTGTCTTTGAGGAGAGAGTCGTGCTACCAGCCCAGCTCCCATAGGCAGCCTTACAATAACAAAACACAGAATGTGTTCGTTAAATAAGAACATGAAAATACCACCAGGTGAGTAAGCAGATTGCAGTTTCAATAGTGTTTTCATCACAAACACTGTGATTTGTTTTTTTAATTTTTATGAAAAGCTCTTTGACAGTGTCATTTTAAGTAAATCATTCTCCACAAAGCTTTTTTATTTATTCTTTACAATTTCCATCATCAGATATTAGCCTCTTCAAAGAACAAGCAACTTGTCAAAAAAATAAAAAATATTAAAAAAAGCCTGTCTCTGAATTTAATGAGAACATTTATTCTTTCTTTTCTCTGAAGATGATTACAATGTGATGGATGAAATACAGAGATAACTATCCCATTGGAAAATAAACTCCAAGTAATATTTTCGCTTTTCACAATCCAAAATGGATAAACAGGATTTGGCTTTGGTCACCAACCAAGGAAATTATTAATGATCTCTAAATGCAAAATCTTTATACTGGTTGATGTACAAATATTAAAACACCCAGCCTGACTTTCAGATCCCCAAATCTGTTTCCAAGAAATAGGTTAGAAAAATCCTCCTTTCACTTTTGCATTCTGGTTATCATTGTTATTTTACAGCTACAACACTCAGAGCTGAAGCCAGGTATATGGCTGGATAGGCAGGTTACTCCTCCATACAGTGAAATGCCAATTGACTAGTCTGCAGAAGGGTTTTTAGCATACCCAATTTAGATCCACAGCTGGTATAAACCTGCACAGCACTAAAGACATGAACTAGCAAAGCAGTTTTGTCCTTTAATCTCAGAATCCCTAAGTTAGACATAGCATGGCCAATGGATCACCACAGACCGAGGATAGGGGAAAAAAAGATGTAGTTACAATAATGAAAAAAGCAGAAGACAGGCTCCTCACTCTGTTCATTTCAGTATGTTTTAATTTTTCATTAAGAGTGAGTCCTTTAAAGTGCTGAGGGATTTTCTCAGGGCACAATCCCTGTGAACAGATGGAGCCTTTCAGAAGCAGAGACAGCACTAGGACTGAGGTTGAGGCAGTTGGGCATCACTGGCACCACTAGCTTAAGGGGAATAAGATGCTGTCAGTTGTTAGCATAAAAAGGAATTGTTCAAGGCTTGAAAACCAGCTGGTCAGCTCTGCAGGGAAACTGATCTCCATGTCAGGGTCCTCACGTTATTCTCAGTTTACAGCTACATTTGGCCAAATTTTATGCCAGTTGTGGAGGCCTCTGGTAATTCATCAAGTGGAAGCAAATGGGATTTTAGATACGCTCTCACACTGTTCATCATGCTGGTGGGGCTACGACACAGGCAGCACACAGACACGGATACCTGTTACACTATCCAGAGCCCTTCCACACAGGCCTTTTGGAAGCAGCTGGGGAAACTGCACAGGAATTTCTGAGCCTTGTCCCAATTCATGGTCCAGGACTCTGTGCCAGACTTCC